CAATAGTGAAAGGACCAAGGCAGAGACATCTCCAGCTCATCCCTTGTTTGGGTATCAGCCAGCACGTCAACGACTTAGATCAAGACATAGTTTTCTAAGATCTACAGAGACACTCACAGCAAGCGAGAGTCCAAAAGTGGCAGGCGTCCCAGGGAGGCTGAATCTGTGTTTCTTTCAACCGCGGATACAGAAACCCCTTGGGCCCCCGTATCCGCGGGTTACCCAAACGACTCCATTTTGATGCCATATTTTTTCCTAGCCCAATTATAACACTAACTGCTATCTCACTTTTTGCATTTTGGACTCCTGCGCTCTGGGAATAACCTTTTTGTTTTTAAGAATATCTTTGTAAATAAAAATGTCATGTTCGTTTGTGGGATTAACAGAACTCAAAAACCGCTGGGCGAATTGACACCAAATTTGGACACAAGACACCTAACAACCCAATGTATGTCCTTCACTCAAAAAATTGATTATGTCATTTGGGAGTTGGAGTTGCTGGGATGTATAGTTCACCTACAATCAAAGAGCATTCTGAACCCCACCAACGATGGAATTGAACCAAACTTGGCACACATAACTCCCATGACCAACAGAAAATACTGGAAGGGTTTGGTGGGAAGTGTCCTTTGGAGTCCAGATCACTCTGGACTCAAACAGTGATGGATCTGGACCAAACTCTACACGAATACTCAATATGCCCAATGTGAACACTAGTAGAGTTTGGGGAAAATAGAATCTTGACATTCGGGAGTTGTAGTTGCTGGGATTTATAGTTCACCTACAATCAAAGAGCATTCTGAACCCCACCAACGAGAGAATTGGGCCAAACCTCCCAAACAGAACCTCCATGTGGGTGACAGCAACGCGTGGCAGGGGACGGCTAGTATTTAATAAGAAACACCTTATTGTCAAACTGGGCTTCCTGCTGCTCCGCTGCTCTCGCCGTCGCTTCTTCGTCCTTTCAGAGCCCCAGGAACCGGGGAACTTGATGCAGTTACCCCACGAGACCCTCGCGAAGTGGACCTGCCACCCTCGCTCCAGACCTCAGAGGGAATTGTAGTTCTCTTTGGACCATAGGGCAAACTTCAGCCCCAGCAATGCAGGACTCCATATCCAGGCTCAGTGGACTCACCAAACCACATCTCATGTTTTATGGACCCTTTTTGCCCCCTCGAAGGACTTTTTGATGATGATAATAGGTTCCCTCTCCTTTTTATGGACTCTCACAAAAATATTATGAACTATGGACATATACTGAGCCAAGATCATCAAGTTTGCAGACAACACCAAATTGGGAGGGATGGCCAATACTCCAGAGGACAGGAGCAGGATTCAAAACGATCTCGACAGATTAGAGAGATGGAAGGCCAAAACTAACAAAATGAAGTTCAACAGGGACAAATTCAAGATACTCCACTTAGGTAGAAAAAACGAAATGCAAAGATACAGAATGGGGGACAATGCCTGGCTCGAGAGCAGTACGTGTGAAAAAGATCTTGGAGTCCTCGTGGACAACAAGTTAAACATGAGCCAGGAACGTGATGTGGCGGCAAAAAAAGCCAATGGGATTTTGGCCTGCATCAAGAGGAGCCTAGTGTCTAGATCTAGGGAAGTCATGCTCCCCATGCTCTATTCCGCTTTGGTTAGACCACACCTAGAATATTGTGTCCCATTCTGGGCACCACAATTCAAGAGAGATATTGACAATCTGGAATGTGTCCAGAGGAGGGCGACTAAAATGATCAAGGGTCTGGAGAACAAGTCATATGAGGAGTGGCTCAAGGAGCTGGGCATGTTTAACCTGAAGAAGAGAAGGCTGAGAGGAGACATGATAGCCATGTACAAATATGTGAGAGGAAGCCACAGGGAGGAGGAGGGAGCAAGCTTGTTTTCTGCTTCCCTGGAGACTAGGACGCAATGGAGGAATGGCTTCAAACGACAAGAGAGGAGATTCCATCTGAACATGAGGAAGAACTTCCTGACTGTGAGAGCCGTTCAGCAGTGGAACTCTCTGCCCCGGAGTGTGGTGGAGGCTCCTTCTTTGGAAGCTTTTAAGCAGAGGCTGGGTGGCCATCTGTCAAGGGTGATTTGAATGCAATATTCCTGCTTCTTGGCAGAATGGGGTTGGACTGGATGGCCCAGGAGGTCTCTTCCAACTCTTTGATTCTATGATTCTATTCTATGAAACAGAGGCTGGATGGCCATCTGTCAGGGGTGCTTTGAATGCAATATTCCTGCTTCTTGGCAGAATGGGGTTAGACTGGATGGCCCATGAGGTCTCTTCCAACTCTTTGATTCTATGATTCTATGTCTCCACACCTGGAAGTCCTCTATTTACGTCCCTTTTATCCCACCCATTTCAGCCTGAAGGCAACTCAGGGCGGCAAAATCCAACCTCAAATAGGGAAACAAGTAACCCAGGAATACCTGGCTGCTCTAAAGAAATTCACGTCCCAAGGCCAGATCAACTACACCAAGAGAATTTTTAAAAAAAACAAAACTTTATTTGGTTTAATAAAAAAAGAATACTTTGTTTATAATAAAATAGCAAAGATCTTTAGATAGAAATAGATATATCAAGATATATAGATTGGTATGGGGTAAGATAAAGGGTTTGGGAGAATGGGAGGGGGGGCATGAGTGGGAAAGGGACCGTGAGAAGTGAGAAGAAGGTTAAAGAAAATAGAGATTAGGAAATAGAAAAATATATAGATAGCGTTAAAATCAGAGAAGAGTGTCGAAGTCTCGACTGCACCAAGAGTATTGAAGGAACCAGTGGAAGTCATTTTGGAACCACTGGCAATCATGTTTGAGAATTGTCGAAGGCTTTGATGGCTGGAATCACTGGGGTGTTGTAGGTTTTTCGGGCTACATGGCCATGGTCTAGAGGCATTCTCTCCTGACGTTTCGCCTGCATCTATGGCAAGCATCCTCAGAGGTAGTGAGGTCTGTTGGAACTAGGGAAAAGGGTTTATATATCTGTGGAATGACCAGGGTGGGACAAAGGACTCTTTTCTGCTGGAGCTAGGTGTGAATGTTTCAACTGACCACCTTGATTAGCATATATAATGGCTTGACAGTGCCTGGAGCAATTTTTTGTTGAGAGGTGATTAGATACCAGACATCAAGGGAACCACTGACCGCATAGGGAAGCTGATGAGGAAACACAACATACAAACTATCTACAAACCCACCAAGAAAATCCAACAAATGCTACGTTCAGTAAAGGACAAGAGGGATCCTCTCACCTCTGCAGGAGTCTACCGTGTACCATGCAGCTGTGGACAAGAAGTCTACAGAGGGACCACCAAATGCAGCATTGCCCAAACACGCATCAAGGAACATGAAAGGCCCTGCAGACTACTTCAGCCAGAGAAATCAGCCATAGCAGAGCACCTGAGGAACCAACCTGGACACAGCATATTATTGGAGAACACAGAAATGTGGGACCAATCTCACAACCACCATGTCAGACCACACAGAGAAGCCACTGAAATCCACAAGCAGGTGGACAATTTCAACAGAAAGGAGGAAACCATGAAAATGAACAAAATCTGCCTACCAGTATTTAAGAAACCAGAACCAAGATAGTAAATAATGAACACCACTCATAAACAGAACTCCAGAAGCAAGTGACCAAGTGCCTGTGAACACCTCCCAAACAGAGGGTGCCTCTGAGCAACAACAAAGGCCAGGCTACCTCTATGCAAATACCCCAACTGACTGACTTTGCAGCTTCATGGCTATTCAATGCTATTCAAGCTTGCTGTTGCAACTCAGAGTAAGCGTCACCTTGCTTCCAAACACCCCCACACAAGAGCTGTAGTTTTATAGTTTATTGAGGAGAAAATCAAAGTCAAAATAAAGAATAAACATTGCAAAATTCCAAAGATTAAGGTTAAAAGCAGAAAATAGTTCCAAAGACCTTCAGGTAAAAACAGGAGACATAAGCCTATTGGCAAAGTTCAAACCAGATTCCCAGGTATAGGCAATGAAACAATTGCCCCATGAATCACAATGCAAGAAATCCTAAGCGTACTGCTTTCCAGGCTAAGGTTATTCCATGAAGCTTTCAGGCTAGTAAGCTATGTTGAACTGACGCTTTTTCAGAGTTTGCAAGAGGCCTAAATACCTTTCTAACATGAAAACATTAGGCTCCCTTCATCATAAAAGCATTGCGACGACCTTTCACCGAGCTGGCTTCTTGTCTGCTGGCCAGACGAGAACTCTGCCTGACCCGGAGATCAAGACGAGCTTGCTGGGGCAAGTCACTATCTACACTTTCGGTATCAGCGTGGAAAGGCACCTGCTCGCTATCTCCTTCATTAAAATTCCTTTCTGCTGGTGGGAACCGCTGTGTCGACACTGCACTGTCTGTGGGAGCCTCAGAAGCAGGCCCAGAGATTTGAGGCACAAAGACCCAGGGAGCTGAATCCCAGCAGGAATCTGAATCCCATCATCCTCATCGTCACAAAAGAGCTTAGCCACAACACTTGCTAATTGTAACATTCACACCTCCTTTCGCCCACCCTGGACATTCCACTTGCTTCACTGCCAACAGAACCTCTGAAGATGCCAGCCACAGATACAGGCAAAATGTTAGGAGGGAATGCTGCGGGAACCTGACCTTACAGCCCGAAAGCCTCTCAGCAACTCAGTGAGTCCGGCTATGAAAGCCTTCGACAATACAATATTTCAGCTGTGTCGAGTCTTGCATAAGGTATCAACCATATGTAAAACTACTTCCTCTCTTGCATGGATGTGATAAGATGTGTGGTTACCGGTACAACTAAGAGGACATCTATATTATTGAATCTATAAAAAGATATGGCAGGCCCATGGGTCTTTACCTGGACACATGATTTGGTCCATGGGCACATTTGATATATTTTGTACCCACACATGAAATCTGTCTATAGATTCCCTTCTTTATGAACCCTATTGTGCGAAGCAAGGTTTCCGGGATAACTGAAACATTGGCTATAGTTTCCCCTTTTTGTGAACCTTTTTATGCGCAGCAAGGTGTGAGCTGCGTTTGAATCTCTTTCCACACTCAGAGCATTGATATGGCTTCTCCCCAGAATGGCTCCTCTGGTGAACAGTGAGATGCCCCCCACTTCTAAAGCTCTTTCCACACTCAAAGCAGGGATATGGCTTCTCCCCAGTGTGGGTTTTCTCATGCGAACGAAGGGCTGAGCTATGACTGAAGCTTTTCCCACACTCAAAACACTTGTAGGGCTTCTCTCCAGAATGGATTCTCTGGTGAGAAGTGAGTTGTCCCCCACTTCTAAAGCTCTTTCCACACTCGAAGCAGGGGTATGGCTTCTCTCCAGTGTGGGTTTTCTCATGCGAATGAAGGGCTGAATTCTGATTGAAGCTTTTCCCACACTCCAAACACTTGTAGGGCTTCTCTCCTGTGTGGATTCTTTGATGTCCATTAAGGGACTCCCCCGTTGTAAAAGCCTTCCCACACACCGTGCAGGCATAAGGTTTCTCTCCTGTGTGGATTCTCCGGTGGACAGTAAGATGGCTTCTCTGAGTAAAGGTTTTTCCGCATTCAGCACACCGGAAGGGCTTCTCCCCCGTATGAACTCTCCGGTGCACAATGAGGTGCGGACTCTGATGGAAGGTCTTCCCACAATCAGAGCATTCGTACGGCTTTCTCCCCGTGTGAACCCTCTGGTGTATAACTAGGGTATTCCTATGAGCAAAGCGTCTTCCACATTCAGAACATGCATACAATTTCTCTCCGGTGTGAACCTTCTGGTGTGATTTGAGGGTACTACTACTACGGAAGTTGTTTCCACACTGTGGACATGTAAAGGGTTTTTCCCCAGTGTGGATCTTCATGTGCTCTCTCAGACCCGAGTCATAAGCAAAGGCTCTCCCACACTCCATACATTTATAGGGTTTCTCCCCCGTGTGTGTCCTTTGATGTAAACGTTGACTTAAACTGTGAGTGAAGCTCTTCCCACACTCCAGGCATTTAAAGGGTTTCTCCCCAGTGTGAGTCCTTTGATGTCTACGTAGATGTGAATTCCGAGTGAAGCTATTTCCACACTCCAGGCAGTTATTGGGTTTCTCCCCAGTGTGAGTCCTTTGATGTGAACGTAGACCTGAATTCCAAGCGAAACTCTTTCCACACTCCAAGCATTTATATGGTTTCTCCCCAGTGTGGATTCTGTGGTGTCTCTGCAGCTGTGCCCCCTGAGTGAAGCTTTTCCCACACTCCAGGCATTTATAGGGTTTCTTCCCAGTGTGAATTCTCTGATGTATATGTCGATCTGAGTTTTGAGCAAAGCTCTTCCCACACTCCAGGCATTTATATGGTTTCTCCCCAGTGTGGATTCTGTGGTGTCCCTGCAGATGTGCCCTCTGAGTGAAGCTCTTCCCACACTCCGGGCATTTATAGGGTTTCTCTCCAGAGTGGCTTCGTGGATGTGAATGCAGATCTCCACTCTCAGTTATGCTCTGTCCACGCTCCGGTGTCTTCACAGTACAAATGCTCTGATTGAAAAAATGCACAAAACATTGTTAAAATTTGAAATGGAGAAAGAACAAGCAAAAGACTGCATGGTTAAATAGGCTCAAAATATACCTATCCGAATCCATTTGGAATTATGGGAGAAGCTGTGGACAAAGAGTCTGAAGTCTACTTTGAGTAATAATAAAAAAAACTTTTGTAACATCTTGTCATATAAACTTTAATAAGTTTATAAACCTGTCATTGCCGTGGTATGGATTTTCTAATGCTACTTATTAGAAATACTCATTGTTAGCTTTAAAACTGTATGGTTTGTTCTATCAGTGCTGGCCATGACCTTCAGGACTGTTGTTTTTCACTTCATCCTAGACCTTGTGTTGGGCCTTCAGGTCTGCATACCTATCGACTAGTAGATAATCGTTACTATCTACATACTGTCCACTTGTGGTTACATCTGAGAGCTACATACATATTTTTGTATTAGGGGACCCTGCCCCAAAATGAGGTGGTTTTTGTCGTAGTAAGTTCGGTAATTTATTTATTTGTAACATTTATATTCCACCCTTCCCACCCACAGGGGAGTCAGGTCGGAGCATGATATATATACGCCAAACATTCAATATCAGGACATAAAACTATAAATATAGGCAATCACTTATATCTGCTTTAATATCAGCTACTTAAACCATCTCAGGAAGGATTATCGCCTCATTGCACTGCCTCAATGACAGGTTTGTGTGACCAAGTCCATTCAAGCTATGTAGACGCGCTTGCAGCACAAGTAAACATATTTACACTAGCCATGGGCCCGAAATTTGTCTCATCCATTTGATTCGTGTTTCTGTTTCATTCCATTCATTCAGATGGCACAAAATGGGAAGGCCCCTCCTGGAACAAAAATAGACTCGAAACGAAAGGCAGGAGGGAGCGGGTACCAGCTGCAAGCCTGCATTTCAGATCAGTTGCCGCGCATGTAGGACCAAAGCACCAGGGCTTGGCAGGTCCTGCAGCCAAGTGCCGAGTAAGGAGCACTCCTTACTCAGTGCTTGGCTTCAGGCACCCTGGCGCTTTGGGCCTACGTGCCTGGGCCTACAGATGCATGCTTTGAGCCTATGCACCCAGAACTGGCAGGGCCTGCAGCAGAGTGCCTTGTAAGGAGTGCTCCTTACTTGACACTCGGCTGCAGGCACCCTGGCGTGTTGTGTCTCAGAATAAGATTCACCTTGCTCTCTACAACAAACCAGCCACAGTTGTGAGGTATATAGTTTATTGTGAGGTTTCCAAACCAAGGCAGTTTATAAGCAGTGAAAGGATCAATAAAACATGTTACAATCCAATATAATCCATATAGCCAAGGCAGGAGACTTGAAGCACAGGTTCAATGCAAAGTCTATGAAACAGCATGAAGCAGCCTTCCCCAAAGCCAGGAGCCGGAGCTAGCCATAAAGCAACGTTGGAACTGACACCGAGAAATCCCCAGAGCAGAGCATATATTCACTAAACATCAAAACAATCAGCTTTCCCACCAAACTGATGATCTCAACACTTGGCCGCAATCCGTTGGCTCTGTCTCAACACCTGGCCACCTTGACCCTGGTTCTCAGCGTCTGTCTTATCATAGAATCATAGAATCAAAGAGTTGGATTATCATCTGCATTCCTTTCCTGTGAGAACTGCGGCCTCTCTACAGATACAGGCTGTGACTGAGAAAACTGAAATCCTACATCTGCATCATGCAGTTGAACCACAACACTATGTGCCTGGGCCTACATGTGCATGCTTTGATCCTATGCACCCGGAACAGGCGGGGCCTGCAACTGAGTGCTGAGTAAGGAGCACTCCTTACTCGGGGCTTGGCTGCAGGCACCCTGGCGCTTTGGGTCTACACGCCCGGGCCTACAGGTGCATGCTTTGATCCTATACACATGGACATGGCAGGGCCTGCAGCTGAATGCCAAATAAGGAGTGCTCTTTACTCAGTGCTCGGCTGCAGGCACCCAGGCGCTTTGGGTCTACGTGCCTGGGCCTACATGTGCATGTTTTGATCCTATGCACCCAGAACAGGCGGGGCCTGCAGCTGAGTGCTGAGTAAGGAGCGCTCCTTACTCGGTGTTTGGCTGCAGGCACCCTGGCGCTTTGAGCCTACGGGTGCAGGCTTTGGTCCTACACACCTGGACCTGGCAGGGTCTGCAGCTGAGCACCGAATAAGGAGTGCTCTTTACTCAGCGCTTGGCTGCAGATACTCTTTCAGCAGCTCAGAAAACGACAGCACACTCCAAACTCTCTCTCTGCTTTTCTCTTCAAACTGTCTCTCTGTTCACCTGCATAGCTCAAGCTTGAACAAAAATGTAACAATATCCAAATGTCCCAGGCTCAGTCATCTCCTGAGGCACTGTCCAACCAATCAGCTTCATATATCTTATTTTACAGTTGACACACACACACTGAGCTGGCACAGCTGTGCCAGAACCTAAATTTTCTTTTTGTATACATGGTTAGTTTGCACGTGTTTCTGTTAGCCAGGCATTTTGCAGTTAAGCAGCTTCCCCCAGGCTGCAGTCATAGGCTAGCAGCCTGCCTATCATCATTGGGGCTTTTGCAACCGCCCTTTCCCCCAGGTTCAGTCTTACAGTTTGTTCAGTCTTACAGTTTGAAGCCCAACTACAGGACGTGTGAGTTTTTCCCTCCTGTAGAAAAGCTTCATTTCTTACAAGCTTGGCTGGGGAAGACAATTCTCACAGCTTTACTAAGAAATACAGCACAGCCCTTGTTGGGGTTAAAGAAACAGATCCACAGCATTCGTGGAAAAAATCCAAAGGACTCCAGCTGGAAAATCTTCAGAGTTTTAGCTGGTAAGGTCTACTCAGGTACCCATAAAGCAAATTGGAACCGGGAGTAGAGCCTCACGCCAGCTAAGCCTAAAAGACAGATTGCCCAGGAAGGGGTCAAAAGGATTTCCCTCATAGAAGAAAGAAACAGTTCATGAAGCTAGTTGCCTGTCCATTGTGGACAAGAAAAGAAATATTTGGTTGATTTGTTGAAGATCTAAGAAGTATTTGGCTGATTAGTATTTGACCTGGAATATTGTGTCCAATTCTGGGCACCACAATTCAAGAGAGATATTGACAAGCTGGAATGGGTCCAGAGGAGGGCGACTAAAATGATCAAGGGTCTGGAGAACAAGCCCTATGAGGAGCGGCTTAAGGAGCTGGGCATGTTTAGCCTGAAGAAGAGAAGGCTGCTCCTCATAGGGCTTGTTCTCCAGACCCTTGATCATTTTAGTCGCCCTCCAGCTTGTCAATGTATAAATATGATAGCCATGTATAAATATGTGAGAGGAAGCCACAGGGAGGAGGGAGCAAGCTTGTTTTCTGCTTCCCTGGAGACTAGGACGCAATGGAACAATGGCTTCAAACTACAAGAGAGGAGATTCCATCTGAACATGAGGAAGAACTTCCTGACTGTGAGAGCCGTTCAGCAGTGGAACTCTCTGCCCCGGAGTGTGGTGGAGGCTCCTTCTTTGGAAGCTTTTAAACAGAGGCTGGATGGCCATCTGTTAGGGGTGATTTGAATGCAATATTCCTGCTTCTTGGCAGAATGGGGTTGGACTGGATGGCCCATGAGATCTCTTCCAACTCTTTGATTCTATGATTCTATGATTTGTTGCACCCATAAAGAACTTTGTTAAACTTTCCAAGCTTCTAAAGACTTTGTATAGGGAAATTCATAGGGCCTCTCAGCTGAGGCACCCCAGCGTCCCGCTGGGCACATAAAAATCACATCCTGTTAATAGACAATTGCTACAGGCCCAGCGTGTGACAGCACACACACACATTAACCGATTCCTTGCATGCCCCAATAAGATTCACTCCAGACAAATATTTAGTAATAACGACGCATTTGCTAGAAATAACCAGAGTTAGCTTTACAATTTTGTGATTTGTCCCATTAGAAAATGTATACCCGGGCAACTGTTGGATGCTTGTGTATAAATTTATATCTATGCAGCCAACCACTACCCGCTGCAACCTGCTGCTGGATTGAATCCAAAGACCTACTTCAGAGGGGCTGCTCTTTCCGCAAGTGACACAAATGGAAGGTCCCTCCCTTTCTTCCAGCGCAAGGCTGGATCCGGAGCCCAAGGGCTTCCCACAAAAGACGCATCCAGTCCCGGTCCCTACCTTCTGATTTGGGATTGGAGAGGTGCTTTTGTCCTGATTTGGGAGGGTCCTGTCCCTCCTCGATTGCCTATTCACGTCTCCTCCTCCTCCTCCTTCCTTTGCTCTCCGCCGAGAGAATCTCAAGGATATCCCATGTTGCCCCCGAGAAGGACCCTTCTTCTGGCCATCATCTGAAAGAAGGACAAAGGAAGAAGAGCTGATGGGGAGTGCAGAGGAGAGACGACGCTGGGAGCCATTGATTGGGGGCTTCTTTGGCCCAATTACGCAGTAGATTCACTTTAACCGTGGGTTGGCCCTAGAATTGGGCTGGAGGACCTCCAAAGGCTAGGAAAGGGTTCCCTCTAGAAATGTCTCTGTCCTCCTGTGCAAAGAGCATTACATTTTTATTGATATAGATATAAATCAATATAAATAAAAATGTAATGTTCGTTTGTGGGATTAGCATAACTCAAAAATCACTGGACAAATTGACACCAAATTTGGACACAAGACACCTCTCAGGCCAACGAGTGACCATCACTCATAAAAAAACACTGACAAACACGGCAGAAGGGACCTAAAAAGCCAAACCCTCCGCAAATACAATACAACGCATGCGCAAAACCACATATATATACACAAACACACATATACACACATATATGCATATACACACACAAAACACATACACAGGAAGGAAGGAAGGAAGGAAGGAAGGAAGGAAGGAAGGAAGGAAGGAAGGAAGAAGGGAGAGAAAATAAGGGAAGGAGAGAAAGAAGGAAAGAAAGAAGGGTAGAGAAGGAAGGAAGGAGAGCAGGAGGAAGGAGAGAAAGAAGGGTAGAGAAGGAAGAAAGGAGAGCAGGAGGGAGAGAAGGAAAGAAAGAAGGGTAGAGAAGGAAGGAAGGAGAGCAGGAGGGAGAGAAAGAGAGAAAGAAGAGAAGGAAGGAAGGAGAGAGGAGGGAGAGAAGGAGGAGAAAAAGGTAGAGAAGGAAGAAGAAAGGAGAGAGGAGGGAGAGCAGGAGGGAGAGAAGGAGAGAAAGAAGGGTAGAGAAGGAAGAAAGGAGAGTAGGAGGGAGAGAAAGAGGGAAAGAAGGAAAGAAAGAAGGGTAGAGAAAGAAGGAAGGAGAGAAGGAGGGAGAGAAATAGGGAAAGAAGGAGAGAAGGAAAGAAAGAAGGGTATAGAAGGATGGAAGGAGAGCAGGAGGGAGAAAAGAGGGAAGGAAGGAGAGAAGGAACGAAAGAGAGAAAGAGGGAGGGAAAGAAGGAACGAAAGAGACAAGGAAGGATGGAACCAAAGAGCAAAGGAAGCAAGAAAAGAAAGGGAAGAAAGAAGAAGAGGGGAAAAAGAGGGAAGGAAGGAAAAAGGGATGGTTGGCTACAGCAACGTGTGGCGGGTACAGCTACAGGAGGAGGAGGAGGAGCAACTAGGAGGACATTGAAAGCCTAATACTGTACATGGTGATGATGCTACAATAATAATAAATGAGCAATCATGAAAACAACAGCAGCAGTTTGACAGACTAGAGAGCTGATTGGGCAAAACTAACAGATTGAATGTCAACAAGGACAAATATAAGATACGACACTGAGGTAGAAAAAAATGAAATGAAAAGATACAGAATGAAGGACAATGCCTGGCTCAACAACAGTCCACGTGGGAAAGATCTTGGAGTCTTATTTTTTATTGTTTGCAGTATTTATATTCCGCCTATAACGAATCAAGGAATCCCCCTTATAATCTAACACCAAATATCAATGTATATCGCGCCGCTGGACACCAATATAAAGGATCACCAATATACTATAATATATTCCACAGCTGAGCACCACTGTAAAGGATTATATGTAATATAATACCACTGGGCAACAGTATGCCAGCGAGTTGATGTTAGATGTGTGTAATGGTAGAATGAACACTGCTAGTCTGTTAGTCTTCTTTTGTTTTAAAAGCTGCCACCAACCCAAGATGTCGTAGGGTTTTTTTTTTTATATTAATTTTTATTAGAAGTTTTCCTTTACATTACATACATTCCAACATATATGCTTAATGTAGTAAACAGCAAGCAATGAACATTAATTAATGCATTCGTTAACATATATGGCTTGCCTATTACATACATCATCGGTAGCTTTAAACAGTTTAGATGTCAACCTGTTGTTTCCTCGTCTATATTAGTCTATGTTTACTGTAACCTACACTCTACACACTCTCGACCTTATGGGGCGGGGTGGAGAGAGGGGTAGGAGAGGGGAAAGTGGAGGGTAGTGAGGGAAAGAGTAGGTTGTGCAGTGTGACTCAGACATCCGTGCATCCATTGAACTTCCCAACAGTCCATGAGGTGTCTTCGAACTTGTTGTTATACTGCAATTTTTCTGTCGTTGTAGTCGTCAGCATTCCAAGCCTCATACACTTAAATTTTTCTTTTCTTTAAGATATTTTCTAAGTGGACTCCAATCTATTCTGCTCTTTAGACTAGTATTATCTAACATGTTGGATAATGTATCTAATTCCATAAAATCCCTTATCCTAAGAAACCAAGCCTCCACTGATGGCAGATCCTTCGATTTCCATTTGCTCGCTATTGCAGTTCGTGCTGCTGCTGAGAAATGAAACAAAAGCCTCTCCTTGTTTTTTTCAATTTCGAAATCCATTAGATGTAGGAGATAGTATTCTGCCTTTAGGTCAAACTTTATTTGTATGATCCCCTGTACATTTCGGTGGACCTCCTTCCAGAAAAGTTTAACTTTTTTACAGTGCCACCAGCAGTGTATGAATGTACCTATTTTGGTGTCACATTTCCAACATAAATTACTTACTCCTCGGTAAAATTTAGCTAGTCTTGAAGGTGTAAGGTACCATCTTGTAAACATCTTGTACCAGCTCTCTTTAATAATTACTGCTTTAGTTAGTTTTATTTTAACTTTCCAGATATCTTCCCATTCTTTTAAAAATATAGTATGATTCAAATCCCTAGCCCAAGAGGTCATATTTTCTTTAATGAGTTCCTTTTCTGTCCTCCATTCCAACAATTTTATATAGAGAGTTTTAACTACTTTTCTCTCTTTTCTCATTATCTTGTCCCAAAAGGAATCTGGCGGCGCAAAACCTACTTTCCTATCCTCTTTAAAACTGTCCGACACCTGATGGTAATGAAACCAGGAAAATTTTTCATCTAGGGACTTCAGCTCTTCTATTGGTTTTAAGCTGTATTGATTTTCCTTCTTATCAAGTAATTTCTTATAGGTATGCCAACTGTCACTAGGGAGCTCCCTTTTGTGAAAAGCCTCCAAGGGCGAGACCCAGAGGGGTGTTCTGTCATAGAATCTAGTTTTGTGCTTTTCCCATACCTTCAATAGCGGGGCTCTAATAATATGATTATTAAAATTCTTTTCTATTTTGGCTTTCCCCAGCCATAAATAGGCATGCCAGCCTCTCCTTAGTTCTGCACCCTCTAGGTTCAGAAGCTTTTTCTTTCTTAGGGTGGTCCACTCCCTTACCCACCCCAGTGCCGCTGCTTCAAAATATAGCTGGAAGTCCGGTAAGGTCAAGCCACCCCTCTCTTTTGAATCTATCATAGTTGTGTATTTGATTCTTTGGTTTTTTCCTTGCCATATAAAATTCTGCATATCCTTCTTCCATATCACCGTAGGGTTTTTAAAATGAGTTTCTGAGGTAAACTTTTCCCCTTCTCTGCCAACACAGCTTTCCCCTTCGCTCCCAAAATGACCAAATGACATTTGGATGTGTCCTTTCTGTGGTACTAGGATGTTAAACTGGCTGGAAATGCTACTCAAGGATTACCAATGGAATGAGTAACGATAGAGACTTCTTAAAAGTCAAACAGAGAAAAGGTTTATGAATAAAAACAGACAACTGCCTTCTTCTTTTGAGAGTCACAAACGCTTGACTTGTGACTATAGCACAATATCTTAATGGTTGCTTAGAAAAGAGTTTCTTGACTTGGTTACAAACAGAGCTAATCTCACAGATATAGCTACTGGTTACAAAAAAAATTCCTCACTCTACTTCAGCGAAATAGCAATGAGATCTTGACTAACCTATCCCAGGCTGTCTTCTGAGTAATTAGCCAACTCTCCCCAGAGTCCTTACAGCTAACTTACTCAAACTAGAGAACAAATCCCTTGTGTTATCTCACACAAGCAATCAGGAGGCTGCCTGACCTTTCTTGTCAACTAATCAGCCCTCCCTGACATACACACACACACTCTTTCTCAGAAATACCCAGTCTCAAAAACCACTTCTTCGCCCTCCAGTTCCCAAATCTCTTCTCTCCCTCAGAATCTGAAATCTTTTCCCTCCCAAGACTTGGCTCCTCCTCCTCCTCAGCTCCAGCCAATCCCAGGAGACCTCCAACTCCCTCCATCTTCTATCTATTTTCCCTCAAGATGGCTGCTTTACTGGCAGACCCTCTCAAAATGGAGGTGTGCCCTACTGTCTTCCCAGGCTTCTATTCTGGCCTATTAGGTAAGAATCATCCTTCTCACATTCAGATTGTTCCCCACAAAGACCGGGCTGTGGACCGGGTTGTGGTGCAGCTGGTGGGAGTCAGATGCGTTAAGATTGTGATAACTGTTTTTAACTGTGGTTTTGTATATTTTGTGTAGAGTGTATAGGCATCGAATTGTGCCTTTTTTTGTAAGCCGCCCTGAGTCCCTCCCCGGGGGTTGAGAAGGGCAGGGTAAAAGTACCTGTAATAAATAAATAAATAAATAAGATCCCTACTGACTAAACGTCATGAGTTCGAAGCCATCCTGGGTCAGAGTAAGCTCCCGACCATTTGTCTAGCTTGCTGTCGACCTATGATTCTAGCAGACTGGCTTTTGAAGGCTAACAGGAGCCTGAGCTCTGTTTGGGAGGAATTTTTCACATCCATTTTTTTCAAGAAGTCTCACTGTATTGATGGGCATGGCCTCATGTAAGCCACCCCGAGCAGAGGTGGCCCTACGTAATTTTCAATGGTAAGCAAACAGTATTTTGGCACACACACACGCACACCCAACCAATCACTGATATATATTTTCTGTTCGTCGTGGGAGTTCTGTGTGCCATATTTGGTTCAATTCCATCATTGGTGGAGTTCAGAATGCTCTTTGATTGTAGGTGAACTATACATCCCAGTAACTACAACTCACATATGTCAAGGTCTATTTCCCCCCAAGAGCACCTCAAGAGCGCCCCTGGGCAAAATCAACTATACTGCAAATGCTTTGCGTAATGGGTTGAGCCGCCCCTGACCCCGAGTCCCCTTGGGGAGATGGTGGTGGGGTATTATTATTATTATTTTGTTTTATCAGTGAACAATAGTAATAGAGCTCAATTGAAAATCACACGGACCAGGTTGTGGCGCAGCTGGTTGTGAGTCAGCTACATTCAAATCACTATTGACTGAAAGGTCATGAGTTCGAAGCCAGCCTGGGTCGGAGTGAGCTTCCGGCCATTTGTCTAACTTGCTGTCAACCTTTGCAGCCCGAAAGACAGTTGCATCTACCAAGTAGAAAATACAGGTACCGCTTCTGCAGGGAGGCTATTTTAACTAATTTACGATGCCATAAAACTCTCCAGCAGCTTGCTAAAGAATGAGGAAGTACTCAATCAGTGTCACAAGTGGATGGTGAAGCAACAGTTCCCCCGGTGGCCGGAATTCAAAGCATACCCTCATGAAGCTGGAATGTTAAATAGCCTCTGTGTCTTTCTATAGATGTTGTGTGTCTAATTGGCATTGAATGTTTGCCATGTATATGTACATTGTAATCTGCCCTGAGTTCCCTGCAGGGTGAGAAGGACGGAATATAAGTACTGTAGATAAATAAATAAATATTACCCCCAGACCCCATGAAATATTTGTGTCATGGCTACCAAGTTAAATAAACAACAAGTACAATTAAAAAGCTATGTAAAGCTAAATATCGATTGGGATCCTCCAGGCTTCTAGAGATACAACGAAGCAAAAAGGAAACTCAAAGGAAAGAGAGGATGAGAGAGAGTCCTGACCTGGAGTGGCCTCCTGGCCCCGTTCCTCCAGCAGGACCTCAGTGGACAGGTGGCTCCCATCCATCCTTTCCACAGCACACAGTCCCTTCTCCGAAAGCCACAGGTTCCTGAAAAGAAGGAAAGAGGGGTTTCCCCCCAAATTTAATTCCCTCAAGAGACACCCTTTTGTCTGCTTTGCAAGACCTGAGGAGGTTGTGAAGGGAAGGCTGGCCTGGCTTGATGGATCAATGTGGTTTGCTCAATCCATCTCTCTATCATTCATTTGTGGGGTCCCGTGGAGTTGAAGCTCCAGCATTATTCCATTTAGGCAAAATATGATCAGAGGATGTGGCTCCTTGGAAAAGACTGAGGCTCCTAAAGGGGAAGGAGAGGCCTAACCACCTCCAAGACCCCTATCTAACCAAGTATCTCTCTATGCATCCATCTATCCCTCTACCCACCCACCTATCTGCCCATCTGTCTAACCATCCATCTATCCACCTATCCACCTTTCTAACCATCTATCCATCTACCCATCTATTCATCTTTCCACCCATCCACTGATCCATCCAAACACCCATCTAACAACTGATTCATCCATCAATCCATCCATCTATCTATGCATGTCTCCACCCACCGACCCATCTATTCATCTAGCCATCCATCACCTATCTATTCATATTTCCATCCATCCAACCATCTTTCCATCCATGGATCCATCCATCCATCTATCTAACCATCTACCTACCTACCTATTTATCTATCTATCCACACGTCTATTCATTTTTCCATCCATCCACTGATCCATCCAACCACCCATCTAACAATTGATTCATCCATCAATCCATCCATCTATCTATCTATGCATGTCTCCACCCACCAACCCATCTATTCATCTAGCCATCCATTACCTATCTATCTAGATATGATTACCTATCTATTCATATTTCCATCCATCCACCCATCTTTCCATACATTGATCCATCCATCCACCTATCTAACCATCTACCTACCTACCTACCTACCCTCTATCCATCCACACATCTATTCATCTTTCCATCCATCCACTGATCCATCCAAGCACCAATCTAGCAATTGAGTCATCCATCAATCTATGCACCTGTCTACCCACTGACCTATCTATTCATCTAGCCATCCATTACCTATCTATTCATATTTCCATCCATCTACCCATCTTTCCATCCATTGATCCATCCAACCACCTATCTAATCAAATATCTATCTATGCATCCATCTATCCCTCTGCTCACCTACCTATTTGTCCATCTGTCTAACCATCCATCTAGCCACCTATCCATCCATCCACCTTTCTAACCATCTAACCATCCATCTATTCATCTTTCCAACCATCCATTGATCCAGCAAACCACTCATCTAACAATTGATTCATCCATCAAGCCATCCATCAATCTATGCACCTCTCCACGCACTGATCTATCTATTCATCTAGCCATCCTAGGTAAAGGTGGTAAAGGTAGTCCCCTGACATTAAGTCCAGTCATGTCTGACTCTGGGGTGTGGTGCTCATCTCCATTTCTAAGCCGAAGAGCTGGCGTTGTCCATAGACACCTCCAAGGTCATGTCGCCAGCATGACCGCATGGAGCGCCATCCTATCTATTCATATTTCTATGGTCTGGTAGCGAAGCAGGGCCAGCCTTGGAGAGACCTTGGATGGGAGGCTCCAAGGAAGGCCAGGGGCTGGAGAGGGCTCCTGAGGAAGGAAGAAGGGGGGAAAGCCCTCCCGAAACCCAATGGGATCCCTGGGTCGCAGTGGGTCTCAAGGCCCTGGATGCAGAAGGCACCCCACAAACCAAGGGAAAGAAGGGGGGGCTTGGACCCAGCGGAGGAGCCTTGAGCTTCAGCCCTGAGTGGCCCCTGGGTCCAGAGTGGAGAGAGGGAAGAAGAGAGAACTAGAGAGAGATATGGGGTGGATAGATAAAGGAAGGAAGGGAGAGGAATAGATAGAGGGAGGGAATGAGGGGGATGGAGAGAGTGTGGGAGTGAGGGAGGGAAGGAGGGAGAAAAGGATGGACAGGTTGGGGGGGAGAGAGGGGGATGGATAGAGGAAGGAGGGGAAGAGAGGGATGGATTGATAGATATAGGAGGGAGGGATGTCTGGAGGGAGGAGGATGGATGGAGGGAGCGAGGGAGAGAGAGATGGATGGATGGATAGCTGGAGGAAGGGACAGGAGTGGATGAATGGATAGGAAGATAGATGGATGGGTGAATAGATGGACGGACGGACGATAGACAGATAGATGGGTAGAAAATAATATGAATTATTAGTCTTTCTTCTGGGGGCAGAGAGATGGGGAGAAAGATGGATAGAGAAGTTGGTGCAGGGGTGGGTGGATGGAAGGTGGAGTAGATGAGAAGGAAGGTAGAGGGATGGATGGGAAGAGAGATGGGAAGAGAGATGGATAGAGAGGTTGGTGAAGGGGTGGGTGGATGGAAGGTGGAGTAGGTGAGAAGGAAGGTAGAGGGATGGGAAGAGAGATGGGGAGAGAAGTTGCTGCAGGGGTGGGTGGATGGAAGGTGGAGTAGATGAGAAGGAAGGTAGAGGGATGGATGGATGGGAAGAGAGATGGGGAGAGAAGTTGGTGCAGGGGTGGGTGGATGGAAGGTGGAGTAGGTGAGAAGGAAGGTAGAGGGATGGATGGATAGATGGGAAGAGAGATGGATAGAGAGATTGGTGAAGGGGTGGGTGGATGGAAGGTGGAGTAGGTGAGAAGGAAGGTAGAGAGATGGACGGATGGACGGACGGGAAGAGAGATGGGAAGAGAGATGGATAGAGAAGTTGGTGCAGGGGTGGGTGGATGGAAGGTTAGGTGGGGTAGGTGAGAAGGAAGGTAGAGAGATGGATGGATGGGAAGAGAGATGGGGAGAGAAGTTGGTGCAGGGGTGGGTGGATGGAAGGTGGAGTAGATGAGAAGGAAGGTAGAGGGATGGATGGGAAGAGAGATGGGAAGAGAGATGGATAGAGAGGTTGGTGAAGGGGTGGGTGGATGGAAGGTGGAGTAGGTGAGAAGGAAGGTAGAGGGATGGGAAGAGAGATGGGGAGAGAAGTTGCTGCAGGGGTGGGTGGATGGAAGGTGGAGTAGATGAGAAGGAAGGTAGAGGGATGGATGGATAGATGGGAAGAGAGATGGATAGAGAGGTTGGTGAAGGGGTGGGTGGATGGAAGGTGGAGTAGGTGAGAAGGAAGGTAGAGAGATGGACGGATGGATGGACGGGAAGAGAGATGGGAAGAGAGATGGATAGAGAAGTTGGTGTAGGGGTGGGTGGATGGAAGGTTAGGTGGGGTAGGTGAGAAGGAAGGTAGAGAGATGGATGGATGGATGGATGGATGGATGGATGGGAAGAGAGATGGGGAGAGAAGTTGGTGCAGATGTGGGTGGGTGGAAAGTGGAGTAGATGAGAAGGAAGGTAGAGGGATGGATGAATGGATGGATGGGAAGAGAGATGGGGAGAAAAGTTGGTGCAGGGGTAGGTGGGGTAGGTGAGAAGGAAGGTAGAGGGATGGATGTATGGGAAGAGAGATGGGGAAGAAAGGAAGGCCTCTCTCTCTCCAGAGTAAACCCTGCGGCTTTGCTGCCCCCCCCCCCAAAGCCCCCTTCTCCCCCTCCTTCACCCTCCCCCCCCCCCCCCCCAAAGCCCCTCCAGTAATCAAATTTCCAGGCCAGGTCTCTTGATATGTTTATGGTTGGAACTCACCGCCTCAGAGCTAGAGAAGCAGGGCCACGTGGGGAAGGAAGGAAGGGAAGAAAGGGAAGGAAGGGAAGGAAGGAGGGAAGGAGGGAAGGAAGGAAAAACAAGCTCTCTCTTTGCAAAAGGCCCAGGGCAGCCCTCCTGCAATAATAATAATAAATATGCTAATATAATGTGTCTGGGTGCCCCACTTTTCTCTCCTAGAAGGAGGGCAGACTGAAGGCAGGCTGGGATACAAGGCATTGTTTGTTATTGTTTTATAAGATACTATATGAGATATTGTTATTGTTATCTAAGATACTATTTAACTATTGTATCTCAGTGATAGATGCCCTAAGTATAGATAAGTGCAGGCTGGGCCATTGGGGTTGCATTGCAAAGGAAGGAAGGAAGGGATCCCCAGGAGCAACTCACCTCCACTCAGCACAACGTGACTCTCCTCCTGGGAAGGAAAGGAAAGGAAGGAAAGAAAGAAAGAAAGGAAACAAGCTGGCCCTTCTGCTCCAAAGAGTCCCGGGAGAGGCGGAGAGCAGCTCACACTTCCGGCTCCTGCTGGACACTCCCTCCCTGCAGCTGACCCTGGGTGGGAGGCCAAAAAAGGGAGGAAGGAAGGAAGGGATGCATGGGAAATGTTTGGGGGGAGGGAGGGAGCCTTGCAAAGGAGAGACTGCAGCCTCCTTTGCACCTGGAAGCCTCCTTCCCAGAGTGGCTGGGAGCAAGAGTCCCACCCTGCCCAGGCCCAACTGGAAACCTACAGAATAGAAACTCTCCCATAGAATTTGATGCAATGCAATCAGACCTGGAAACTATGAAAACAAATAGCTAAAACCAATACAATGCTATAGTAATGGGATTTTGGCCTGCATCAAGAGGAGTCCAGTGTCTAGATCTAGGGAAGGCATGCTCCCCATGTTCTACTCTGCTTTGGTTAGACCACATTACCTGGAATATTGTGTCCAATTCTGGGCACCACAATTCAAGAGAGATGTTGACAAGCTGGTATGTGTCCAGAGGAAGGTGACTCAAATGATCAAGGGTCTGGAGAACAAGCTCTATGAGGAGCTGCTGAAAGAGCTGGGCATGTTTAGCCTGAAGAAGAGAATCATAGAATCAAAGAGTTGGAAGAGACCTCATGGGCCATCCAGTCCAACCCCATTCTGCCAAGAAGCAGAAATATTGCATTCAAAGCACCCCTGACAGATGGCCATCCAGCCTCTGTTTTAAAGCCTCCAAAGAAGGAGCCTTCATCACACTCCGAGGCAGGGAGTTCCACTGCTGAACGGCTTTCACAGTCAGGAAGTTCTTCCTAATGTTCAGATGGAATCTCCTCTCTTGTAGTTTGAAGCCATTGCTCCATTGCGTCCTAGTCTCCAGGGCAGCAGAAGACAAGCTTGCTCCCTCCTCCCTGTGACTTCCTCTCACATATTTATACATGGCTATCATGTCTCCTCTCAGCCTCCTCTTCTTCAGGCTAAACATGTCCAGCTCTTTAAGCAGCTCCTCATAGAGCTTGTTCTCCAGACCCTTGATCCTTTGAGTCGCCCTCCTCTGGACACATTCCAGCTTGTCAATATCTCTCTTGAATGGTGGTGCCCAGAATTGGACACAATATTCCAGGTGTGGTCTAACCAAAGTGGAATAGAGCATGGGGAGCATGACTTCCTTAGATCTAGACACTATGCTCCTATTGATGCAGGCCAACATCCCATTGGCTTTTTTTGCCGCCGCATCCCATTCCTGGCTCATGTTTAACTTGTTGTCCAAGTTAGGTCTTTCTTACCTTCCTTCTCTGAGAGGAACTCTTTGGACCCCTTCCAACACCTCCTTTCTTGTATATTGTATATATATATTTCTTCTTACCTCCTTTGCTCCTTCTTTCTTCGCTAAGTTTAAAATGCAGGCGGCTGGAGATCTGCAGACATTTGTCTGCGCATGATCAGGGCGACCCGCTGTACCACAGGGCCAAATACCGGGTCCTTTTGGAGGTCCCCTCTTGAGGAGAAAACCCCCTTTCAAACCGTCGGCTGGCCCCCACCAGTTTCACAGTTCCCCCTGCCTCAATCCTTCTCACAAAAAGAAAGCCATCTTCAACCTCAGCAAGATGGAGTGGATGAGGGAGTAGAGGACATCCAACCCCAAATTGGGAAACAAGTCGTCCAGGAATACCTGGCCGCTCTAAATAGGTTCAAGTCCCCTTTCAGGGCCAGATCAACGACACCCAAGAGTATTGAAGGAACTAGCAGAAGTCATTTCCGAACCATTGGCAACCATCTTTGAGAGTTCTTGGAGAACGGGAGAAGTTCCAGCAGATTGGAGGAGGGCCAATGTGGTCCCAATCTTCAAGAAGGGAAAAAAGGATGACCCAAATATTTACCGTCCGGTCAGCCTCACGTTGATACCGGGCAAGATTCTTGAAAAGATTGTTAAGGAAGCGGTCTGCAAACACTTAGAAACAAACACAATCATCGCTCATAGTCAGCATGGATTTATCAAAAACAAGTCGTGCCAGACTCATCTGATCTCTTTTTTCGATAGAGTTACAAGCTGGGTAGATGCGGGGAATGCCGTGGATGTAGCGTACCTGGATTTCAGTAAGGCCTTCGACAAGGTCCCCCATGACCTTCTGGCAAGGAAACTAGTCCAATGTGGGCTAGGCAAAACTACGGTGAGGTGGATCTGGAATTCAGTTCTTGTGGGTTTTTTCGGGCTATATGGCCATGTTCTAGAGGCATTTCTCCTGACGTTTCGCCTGCAGGCGAAACGTCAGGAGAAATGCCTCTAGAACATGGCCATATAGCCCGAAAAAACCCACAAGAGCTGAGTGATTCCGGCCATGAAAGCCTTCGACAATACATTGGATCTGGAATTGGTTAAACGGACAAACCCAGAGGGTGATTCTCCCCAAGGCTTCCTCCTCTTCATCCTGGAAAGAAGTGACAAGTGGAGTGCCATCCGCAGGGTTCTGTCCTGGGCCCGGCCAAGCCTTATCCCGGAGGCAGGAGAAGCGAAGGCTGAGGCGGGGGGCGAAGCAGCTTTGGGGCCCCTTCACCCGCCGCCTCCCCAAGGTATTGGGTGGCGACTGCCGGGTGGCTCCCCTTTCTCATCTGCAGCCAAAGTAATCTAGCAGATCTCTCTTCCAATGTCAGGACCCGGCTTGCTGGAAGGAAGAAGGCAAAAGGGCCTTAGTTTGGGGACCCCTGGTCTAGAGGCATTCTCTTCTGACATGTCGCCTGAGACAAAGGACTCTTGTCTGCTGGAGCTGGGTGTGAATGTTTCAACTGACCACCTTGATTAGCATTTGATGGCCTGGCAGTGGCTGGAGCAACCTTTTGTTGAGAGGTGATTCGATATCCTTGTTTGTTTCCTCTCTGTTGTTGTTCTAGATTGCTAGATTCAAAGAAGGATAAGAGGGATCTTCTAACCACTGCTACACCATGCAGCTGTGGACAAGTCTCCATAGGGACCACAACATACAGCGTCCAAATACGAATCAAGGAACATGAAAGGCACTGCAGACTGATTCAGCTAGAGAAGTCAGTCATAGCAGAGCACATGATAAACCAACCTGGACACAGAATATTAGTTGAGAACACAGAAATTCTGGACTAGTCCGACAACCATTATGTCAGACCACACAGAGAAGCCACTGAAATCCACAAACAGGTGGACAATTTCAACAGAAAGGAGGAAACCATGAAAATGAACAAAATCTGGTTACCAGTATTTAAAAAACCAGAACCAAGACAGTAAATAATGAACACCACTCATAAACAGGAGAACTCCAGAAGCAAGTGATCAAGTGCCAGTGAACACCTCCCAAACAGAGGGTGCCTCTGAGCAACAACAAAGACCTCTATGCAAATCATAGAATCAAAGAGTTGGAAGAGACCTCCTGGGCCATCCAGTCCAACCCCATTCTGCCAAGAAGCAGGAATATTGCATTCACATCACCCCTGACAGATGGCCATCCAGCCTCTGTTTAAAAGCTTCCAAAGAAGGAGCCTCCACCACACTCCGGGGCAGAGAGTTCCACTGCTGAACGGCTCTCACAGTGAGGAAGTTCTTCCTCATGTTCAGATGGAATCTCCTCTCTTGTAGTTTGAAGCCATTGTTTTGCGTCCTAGTCTCCAAGGAAGCAGAAAACAAGCTTGCTCCCTCCTCCCTGTGGCTTCCTCTCACATATTTATACATGCTATCATATCTCCTCTCAGCCTTCTCTTCTTCAGGCTAAACATGCCCAGTTCCTTAAGCCGCTCCTCATAGGGCTTGTTCTCCAGACCCTTGATCATTTGAGTTGCCCTCCTCTGGACACATTCCAGCTTGTCAATATCTCTCTTGAATTGTGGTGCCCAGAATTGGACACAATATTCCAGATGTGGTCTAACCAAAGCAGAATAGAGGGGTAGCATTACTTCCTTAGATCTAGACACTATGCTCCTCTTGATGCAGGCCAAAATCCCATTGGCTATACCCCCAACTGACTGACTTTGCAGCTTCATGGCTATTCAATGCTATTCAAGCTTGCCAATTGCAACATTCACACCTTCTTTCCCTCACCCTGGACGTTCTGCTTGCTTCACAGCCAACAGAACCTCTGAAGATGCCAGCCGCAGATACAGGCAAAAGCCACCCTGGCTTCTCCCCAGAATGGCTCCCCTGGTGAATAGTGAGAATGCTGCGGGAACCTGCCTTACAGCCCGAAAGCCTCTCAGCAACTCAGGGATTCCGGCCATGAAAGCCTTCGACAATACAGTATTTCAGCTGTGTCGAGTCTTTCATAAGGTGTCAACCATATGTAAAACTGCTCCCTCTCTTGCATGGATGTGATAAGATGTGTGGTTACTGGTACAACTAAAAGGACATCTGTTACAGACTCAAAACCGAGCGCTGTTTTCAGGGCCGTATCACGAGAGCACATTTGGGAAGGAAGCAAACCAGTCCCTTGAACGAGAGCAATAAGCAAGGTTTATTTTTTTTCCTCTTTATAGCTATAAAGGAAATCAGGCAGTTCTTGTCTGGTTCACAAGCACACAGACCAAAAATGAAAACTGCCCTGCTTCTCTTGATTTCTGCATATTCTTATACCCCAGCGTAAACAAGAGCAAAAGGGAAAGTACCACTGACATCAACCATTTTAACCTTTTACTTTTTTCCATCACTTGTTGTGCTTAACTGTCCTAACCTTTAACAAAAGAAAACCGCAAGTTCTTTTCCTGATTCTATTTCCTGCGTTTTGCAGCAAAAAAAAAAAAAAAAAAAAAACACAACATTTCCGATGCAAGCAGTAAAATGTCATCTCTAAAAGAGAGGCGTCTGAACTTTGGACCTTGAGTTGGACACATATGCTGTTGCAACTCAGAGTAAGCTTCACCTTGCTTCCAAACACCACCACACGAGAGCTGTAGTTTTATAGTTTATTGAGGAGAAAATTCAAGTCAAAATAAAGAATTAACATTGCAAAATTCCAAAGATTAAGGTTAAAAGCAGTATATAGTTCCAAAGGTCTTCAGGTAAAAACAGG